TGCTGAAGTCGCACTGCTAAGAAGAAGAATCATCCGTCCCGTGAGATGACCATCTTGTCTGCAGAGCGCTTCCTGCCTTTGGACACCTTGCTTTCTGGGCCACTGTCTTAATGTGATCTGCAGGTGCTCGCTCGGGATCTGGAGTGAGGGGCAAGTGGAAGGTCTACTATATTCTCCTCAGCGAAGCCGGAGGAGGTGTGCCTACCTGGGCAGCTGAGAAGGGAGTAGCAAAGGCAATAACAGCTTCCTGTCGGAGATTCAGTAAAGTTTTGTGAAAGGCTTGCACGTTGGCACGATGCACGCATGTTGCTTTCTACGTCTTGCTGCAGCTTGATGGCAATGTTGATGTCACTCGTCCGCAGGATTGGTTCGTGTGCGCCCGCAAGCAGCAGCACCTGCTGCGCAATCGGTGATGTGCACGCTACCGGCGACATCACGACAGCCAGACCCTGGCCCAGGGGTTCAAGAACTGACCTCGGATGCTGAGTGGTAACAAGAGGCGCACACTGGGGCATGTTGATTTGCTGTTGGGACATGGGTGCAGAAGTCTCCAAGGAAGCTTGCCGCAGTCGTCTTCTCGATCAGACCAAGTTAGCAGCCATGGGCAACATCTGCAGCGCGGAGGAGACGCGGACAGAGGCGGCAGTTTCGGGGTGCGAGCAGCTTGTCACGCGTCGGAAGCTGCCACAGGTGATCGCGATCGACAAGGTTCGCTGGCGTTTTCTGCAACTTGCCGAGCTTGTTTGCTGAGCTGTTGTTCGAGGCGCCGGCAAAGACCGAGACCGAGCCACTATCGACCGTCCAGAAACCAGAAGAGAAGTTGGACAAAGCCGAGCCGGTTGAAACTGCTGAGCCAGAACCGCCGGCGAAGCCTCAGAGACGTGGTCGCAGAATGTTTCCAGAACGCTGGCCAGACAGCTTCGACATGGCACAACCAGCCCAACTAAGGGGCCTCAAGATCACTTTCCTGAACGCGAAAGACGAGGCTGCTATGTCGAGCAACATGAGGGCCGACTCAATGCTCTTTCTCCCGGCCTCCCTCATGCCTCGGTTTCGAGATCTTTGCGCTTGTGACTTTCTCTTTTGCTTCCTGCTTGTGGCGAGGAGCATTACACCATGCACACCATACGTTTTTGATGCTTGTGCCTTCGGATGCTGTTCTACCCCAGGCTGTGGATGTCATCTTCGAGAAGAAGCCTTTGGGTTTCAAGTTTGTCCGCAGCTTACACGGTAGGACAGTCGCACCGCATCACACTGGAGCGTGCCTGCGCGTAGCAGAATGTACAAGGTATCGGACAAGACTCCGATGATGCTTGCCAGACTTGGGTTTTCGGTGCTTTCGGTAGCTGAACCGGCTGTGATCCTAGAGCGTGCTGGGATACGGTATCGTTCAGGACGGTGTCCGCCATCAGTGACACGGGATGCGTCAAGGAGAAGGGTCTGGACGTGCAGGCTGGACAGCGGTGGCCAGGTGCATAATTCATAGCTTGCTGAGCTTTCGAGGTTGGCTGGAAAATCAAGGCGTTCAACGACAACAACGTGCTGGATGTGGCTCCAAAGGAAGCCATTGACAAGTTCCAGTCCTCTCTCCAGGATTCACTGCCAGGTTTGAGGATCACTTTCCTCAACGAGAAGGAAGAAGCTGCTCAACGAGCAATGCTTGTCCGTCTCCTCACTCAGCAGATTTGGGGAGGCGATGGTTCCCGACTGCATGCAGGTTCTTGTAGGATTTCGGAGTCAGGATTTAGACCTCCATCATGGCTTTCCAATTCCTGATGAAAGAACATGAAAACACTTAACCCCCTCAAACCGAAGTTCCACGCTGACTGCCCGCCTTTTTACACATACACTCCTCGTCAGACATGCCGAGCGCACGCAATGTGTGTTCAACTTGTCGACGACTCTTGTGGTCTTTGTTCGAACGAAAGGATGTTTAAACTTCATTGGTTCTTCCTTGCCGTTGCTGGAGTTTGTTGTAGAAGTGTCGTAGCGGTGCGAACAACAAGTGTTAGCACGCATATCTCGAATGACGTATAGATGGTAGCAAAGATGCAGAGCAATTGCTGCCAGCAGTCCGCTCTGCTGCGCTAGGATCGCAAATGTCGGTGGCATGATCATGTTATCCAAGGCTGTGGATGTCATCTTTGTGACGAAGCCTTTGGGATTTAAGTTCGTCTGGAGCTTACAGGGTTCACAACACCAACATGTCGTGCAGAGTGAGAAGAGCCTTCAAGCAGCTGCAAGGTATCGGACAAAACTCCGATGATGCTTGCCAGATTTGTGTTTGTGTAGCTGAACTGGCTGTTCTGAAAGGGTCGCGGTATCTGTCAGGACGGTCTCCGCCATCACTGACACGGGATGCGTGAAGGAGAAGGGTCTTCACGTGCAGGCTGGAAATCTATCGGCTTCTGAGATTCTTCTTCTGCTCGTGATTGTACACTCTGGACCGGCCATGTGGACTTGTCCGTTGTTGGAGGTCGGCTGGAAAATCAAAGCGGTCGACGGCAACGAGGTGCTGGGAATGGCTCCCAAGCAAGCGTTGGACAAGTTCATGGCATCTGTCAAGACGTCTTTGCCATAAGACAAAAGCGCATCTGATTGATGTCTCTAGCATGGCTTGGGCCTGGTGCTAGATCGGGAGCATGAGCAATTTAGAGGGACAGCTCTCAGAGGCTTGATGAAGTACTCGCATCTGGCCCAAGCTGCGAGTAGTTGAGAGTTCTCAATTCGCACGACGCAGATCACCGGTCCTGCGGTTGAGCTGCACACGGTGTTGCAAGAGCTGTCCTTTTCCAAGCATTTTGCAGCAGAAGGCTCCTGCCAAATACTGAACTCCACGCCTATGCTTGTTTGGTATGAGATGAAATGATCTGTCTGTTGAGATAACACAGTGCAGCGAGCCTTCGCCTTTGGCACGCCACGGTGAACTCTTCCATCCTTCGCAGCACGAACCGACAAGCGTAGGCATCCGATAGTGTTTGCTCACCTCCCTGCCCCCCTCCACACGCGCACACACGGACACGCAACAGACCGACCCACCGACCCACCGACCGACAGAGAGAGACAGACAGACAGACAGACAGACAGACAGACAGACAGACAGACAGAGACATGGCTTGCAGGTATGTGTTCCTAGTCTGCCAGGGTCATATCAGGCTCAACAGGCGTTTTCGTTGGCTGTGGCCTCACCCCCTGCATTCTTCTAGCGCGGAATGTCCAAAAGACAGTTAGCTTAGAGTCAGGACGTCCGCTCTCACACGCACACACAGACACTCTCGCTCTCTCTCTCTCTCTCTCTCTTCAGTGGAGCGAATGTTTTCAATTCTAAATGCTGCGGAACGGGGGTCAAAGTTAAGTGCCGCCCTAGAAGAGGACGGAAATCAAACTCAAATCTATTCGTGGGGGCATCAGTCGTGTTGGGCCATTCAGGGCGCGGGGACGAGGCAGGGCAACAGGGTAGTTTCGGACAGTATGCGGGTTGTGCTGCCTACCCGTTCACTCAAAATACTCGGGGATCTGTGGACGCTACAGGCGTGAGTCGAAACTAGGCCGTGGGGAAGGAAGACAGGCGAGCGAACCAGTTGGTTGCCGCGGAAATGCCCGGCCAGCAGGTGACAGGTCGTGGCTGAGCGCCGAGTCCTACAAAACTGGGGGAAGCATCGGGATTTTTTGGATGCCCTCTTCGAGGCGCAGCAGGTTTTGGTCAGGGGACAACAACCTTGAGACCCCCGGAGCAGAGAAGGCCTGAAGCGGAAGTCGAAACGAGCCAACGGACTCGATGTGCACACTCACACGCAGAAGTTGAACCATGTCGAGCAGTGTTACCTCAGTGATGGTATCTCTTTATCGATCAGTCTACCATGTATGCATAGATGTCGCAGGAATCGGTGTGCACCATGGCAGTGTGCCTTTTTGCTCAGCGAAGCCTGCGATCCTGGCTAAGACTTGGATTCCAGGAGTGGCGCGTGTCACATCGAGAAAATCGCGCCCATCCCTGCACCAAGAAGTTGTGATCAGTACGGTGTGAGCATGCATCCATACGCCATGCAGTTCAATCGAAGCAATACGTATCGCTAGGCCTTCTGCAACTTGTGCAGTTGCTGTCAAAAGCCGATGCCAGCCAGCAGTTGCACATGTTAGCTCATCTTTCTCGCCAGCCCTCGGACCGAAACATCGAAGTTTCAACACGAACCTGGCAGATTATCGACATGATTCGAGGCTTCTCCCTGCTGAGCAGTACACAGATACATCAACAGAGGGCTTCGGACTTCTCGCCCGTATCAAAGAACGCAGACGCCTCATGCACTTCCACCGTCCAGAAGGCGGCAACGATGTGGTAGCCAGGCTGTCCTTCTTCCAGTTTCTGCTTTTGTCCGATATGTTACAGATATGTTGATGGATGCTTCCTGTATTTGCATGGGTTTCATGGCTGCACAGGCTAGTCAAGCTCCAATGTCGACTGGTTGGCCACGAGACGGTGGGCACAGCTGCCATTTGAGTTCTTTGTCTTGCAGTTTATCTGCAAGGATGAAACACTTCAGCGCGACCTCAGCTGGGCCAAGAGCCAGGCTTTGAGGTGGGGCTGCACATTCGCGCGTGGAAGACCACAGCATGAAAATCTGGTGGCAAGCCCATACGTACGTTTACTCTACCACTCGGTGCCATCGGTGGCAGTGGCTGCGGTGTTCGTAAAGAAAGGCTCAGGCCAATGTTCGGAGCACATTCGCACGTTCCTCATGGAGGCGATTCGGTGGAGGGAGAAGGAAGGAATTGATCGATCTCGATTTTGTTTCGACGCACCAGTCGTTCAAATCCCCGACATGTCAGCAAGTCGCCACAATGACAGGCACGTTCCCAAAGATGTGGTGGATGCCGTCTGCAAGTTAGCGGAGCTGTGCATGCAAAAGGCCGGGAAGCCTGGCAAAGCCAATGCAGGGCCCGGCGTATGTGCATTTGCAAGACGACTCTGCTCAACACTTGTGGAGGCATCGCTGGAGCGCTACGCAGAGCGCAAGCAACCTCTGGTTTTTCTGCCCAGGCCTCAGTGTGATCAGGCGTTTTAGCTGCTTCAGCTGTTTGTGATCTTGAGACCGAGCTTGCGTTTTCGTGGTCCCCTTCTTCGGATTTCAACATGCCTCAGTTGCCTGGCAGACGCCCAACTCAAAACCTCCAAACTGTCAAGAACCCGCGGGGGTTTAAGGCGTAAACTGTGGGTAGGTGGAAGGAGTGCCGGGTGGCGGCTCTATGTGGCTCTGTCAGTACCGAACTAGGATGGCTCTGCATCCTGCAAGAAGATTAACCGACGTGAGGCCAGGGTTTAGGGGAATGCGGCAGACGACCGAAACAGAGCAGAGTCAGGAACAGGAGTCAGAAACAAAAAGCCCAAGAGAATCGGAAAACTCGAGTCGGAAACATGACCCACGTCGAGTCCGAAAAAACTTACGAACGCGAAAAAGTGAAGAGTGGTGATAGCACTGCGCAGAAAGAGATGCAGTGGGTGAAAGTGCAGAGGGTTGGGTGGGCGGAGGGGGTGGGTTGAGCTTACGCATCCTGCAGGACCGCTCCCGTAAGAAAGGGGCGAACGCTGCCAGGTAGTGCTTTCAGAAGCACAGGCATTGTGCGAAGGAATCTGGGCTGAGCGCCTTTCGAAGTTCTGCCCACCCGCCTCTCCCTTCCTTGATGTTTGTACATACTTGTACTATCTTGTACTTCTAATTGGGGAGCCCGGTCTCCTACATATGCTCGGGCTGAGGGTGTTGCGGCGAACGTTTGCTTGCATTACTGTACAACCAGAAGCCGCCTTGTGAGCATCCGAAGCCTCGGCCGGAGACGCATCCTTGACGGACCGCTCCCTTAAGAAAGGAGCGAACGCTGCCAGGTGGCGTTTTCAGAGCATGTCGGGACTTCGCTTCAAGCCTATGCAGTACACACCCAGCCGCAGCCATTCAATCCGCACGTGAGCAGAGCCTGAGTACGTGCGAAAAACAGGGAAGATATGGCTCACAACGCAAACGACGACGATCGCACACGCTTTGAGAGGCACGCAGTGCTGTAGTTAGTTTCTTGCCGAGAAACCGGTCTTCGCACGCCCATAACAGTCGCCAGGACTTCCTAGCAGTCCCAACGACGTATGAATTTTGGCAGGAACAAAGCACTGGTGGGTGCTTTGAGCTCTGCAGATTTGGATCTCCAGGGCACACGTTTGTGTACGCACCATGATGACCAATTTTCGCATGCAAGGAGTCTGCTTAGCTTTTTAATTTTGATTTGCACGGATCGCTTGCAAGGGCTCTGCTGCTTGGCATTTTCGTTTGCAGGGGGGCAAAGGCTCCCGTGACAAGCGTTGCCCAACGAAGCCAAGTCACTGGAGTGGATGCAGCGGAAGATAATCAGTGTGTACATGCCATGTGTGATATCGTGCATTATACTCGCTCTGCACTGTTTGAAGAGTGACGTGCTCTGCGCACCGTTGCCGCAATCTGGAGGTTTTTCCCAGTCTGTCTTCGTCTCGTCTTGTCCGTCGCCATCGCAGTTACTCGTGCCGAGGCAAAGTAAATGTGTGCGTGTGTCAACTGCCAGTGTGTGTACGTGTGTGGGTGGGAGGGGGTGGGGGTGCGGTTCCGCGTGTTTGTCTGTCTTCTTGTTTGTCATGTGCCAGTGCTTGTTTTAGTTCGCTCAGGTACAACTGCACCCTTGGCCGCCCGCTCCACCACTCCCAGAGACTCTCCGAGGACGTTTGCGGCTGCGTTTGGTTTTGTTGTTGTTGGCACATGACAATGAGATATTTCCTTCGATTAGCCGTTCTATTCCTTTCGAGTCGGAGCCCGCATCCAGTTGCTGTTGGGAACACTACCATGTTCAACGGTGAGATGTATTCTCCCCCACGTTGCATCGTTATTTTATCAGTCCCAAGAGGGGAGGAGCACGACAGGCGGAAAAATCACATGCTGCAGCAATGGGTTACATTTCATTCATCTCGGCTCTTCTCCACTTTTCAGTCATCGCGATGGGAACATCATTTAATTGGAAGCTCCGCGTGCTGTTCAGCAGACTTGCGCAAAGGAGTCTCGGGCTTTCGTGAGCCAAGTGTTGCAGCCGCTGCTGGAAGAGACTTGCCTTTTCAGATGTCATTGGGTCGTCCATTCAACACGATAGTCCTGCCATGTCCTGCCTTTAGGCATTTGACCACGCTTAGGCTCCTGAGCGAGCCCAAGGAGTCTGGAAGGCTCCCTATGACCTATGCCCTATGCCAGTGCACGCTCTGGTGTAGCCTTTGTGCGCAGGTCTGTCTTCACTCCGCGTGGTTGGAGTGTCTGGCTCAGCCGAGTCGGGCCTTTTGGAAAACCACTGTATACCACTGTGGTGCTCGCAGTACAAGGCAAAATATGCGAGACTGGGATGGTGTCGGGGCCGTGGTGGACCAAAATCACGAATGCCGCGGTTCAGATGAGCTGAGGCGCAGGGCGGTCACATTACAGGGGCATCCAACGGCTACAAGGCAATCTGCACGACAGACTCTTCTCTGCTGATGTTGACGTCGGTTCCAGCACATAAAATGCAGGCATTCGATAGCAATCAGGTGGGGAAGCCATGCTTCTGAAAGGATTTGATTACAAGTCCTGAAAGTAAGCTCAATAGACTGATCGAACAGATACTGGAGAGTCGGCCCGTCGATCTATGTGCACCCGTTTATTTCTAGCACCGCAGGGCAATCAATTCCAGCTATGAGATATGGTGAGATGCACCGCAATTTTTGGGAGAGAAATGCTACCAGCCACATCGCACGGTGCTTCTTTCTCGACGTGAACTTGCACAGCGCGGAATCCCTGCGTGAGAAGCGTAGCAGGAGTGGTCTCAGGCCCTGAACGAAAAACGATGATGCAGAGAGCTCAGATTTGTGTGACAGAGACGGTGGAATGCTTGGGTGTGACAGCCGGCATCTCCCAAACCTCGATTGAACAGCAGCCGCGCACGACACAGCTCAAGTGCCAGATCCCCGGCAGAGCAAGAGCCGGATGATGCAAGATGCGGCAATTGATCATGCGAGACCTGGCCGAGGCAGGCTGAGTCTGAGGTAGTCGCCCAGAGGCCGTAAGAACCGAACTGTGTGGGAGCCACTGGCAACATCGACGAATTGCCGTTTAAACTCGCTGCCGAGACAGCTGGCCTCAGAGTGGACGAGTCCTCCCTTCCGTCGGCAGCTTCTCTGGACAAGGTCGCCGGCGTCGTGACGACCAAGATACCCGGCTACCAGACAAATGCGCGAGACTACGTCCTTGCGCACGTTTTGACCTATCCCGCAGCAAAGTCCCCAGAAAGGTCGCAGTCGACGATCCAGTCATGGCACGTGCTGGCCGTGCCGGAGGATTGACCAAATCCAAGAATCCGACTTTCGCTGCAGACTGGCAGACTGCTCCGTCCGACCTGAGAGATTTGACGTGAGTATGTAGGTAGTATGTATAATCGGTCCCAGCTCTTTGCTATGCCCTCGCCATTGGTATGAGTACAGATGCTGGACGAGTTTGAAAACATCAAATTGTGTTTGCGACTGAAATAGAGTTGAACGAGCACCCGAGGATGTCTCGTAGTAAAGGTTCCTTTGTTCAAAGGTAATTCCGCGCGAACCCCATTTGAGGTTCAGGTGCGGTCATGGCATAGTCTTGCCCCTTGCGGATACAAAGTTGCAAATCTTAGTATACACGTTCGTGATGCCGCATCGCGACAGGTGTCCATGGACGATGCAGCGAACTTAGCCTGATGCACCGCAGTGATGTCTCGCTTGCCTTGTTGCCAGCGGCACAAGATGGTTGCGTAGAGACGTTTTGCGCTGCGGAGCGCGTGTGTTTCTGTCAGAGCCCACTGCACGACGAGTGAGAACATCATCCGTTTGCAGGTTTGGTCTTTTTGCGGAGGCGTGGTGTCTAGAGAGTGGGGCACGCAAAGAAATGCCCTGAGAAAGAGCAAGCAAGAGAAAGAGAAAGCGAGAGAGCAAGCGAGTGAGTGAGAGAGAGCGAGCGACAAAGAGGGAGACGAGAAAAGAAACTTCAGTCCTGACTCAGACGTTAATAAGTCTTTCACGTCGGCGCGGGGAGGTGTGCTTCTTCGTACCTCATCTAGCCTACCAGAAACAGAGGGAGACAGAGAGAGAGAGAGAGAGAGACACCCCTTCCTCTACCCTGGTGAAGAAAAAGGGCAGCGAGAGAGAGTGTGTGTTTTGCCACAGAGCCGTGCCACCCTGAACATGGGGGGACGCAGCACAAGCAGAGGATTGTAATTTTAACGCTACGCCGCCCGCCTCAGCTGCTGAGGGCCAGAAGGCACGGAAAGCTGCGGCTTTGCATGAGTAGTCTACTGGGGGGGGGTGGAAAATGGACGCAAAAAGCGGGTGGTTCCAACCGTTTGGACTGCAGGGAGGAGGATTAGGTGGAGGGTACTTGAGGTAAGCCCCAAGACGCCTGCCCACTGCACTAACGGCCGCTTCCAATGTTACCTGGCTGTTACCTGAGCCAAGCTGGTCCCAAGCTGTGCTTCTGTTTCTTCATACTCTTCAGGCCCCCCCAGCCGTGCCGTCACAAGGAGCCGGAACAGGAAAAGTGGGCGGGCAAACAAGCAGGAAAGAAAGAGCAGGAGCTGAGTCGTAGCACACAGAGAACAGCTAAAAACAGAACATGCAGACAGAAAACCAGGGAACAGAGGCAGCAACGGCAGAGCAAGGCGGGTCTGTTGGGCGGAGCCCAAAAACGCCAAAAAACAGCAAAAAAAAGCGAGAGGGGCAAAAGCAAGGGAAGCCGCGTGGGTCCAACCGTTTGGGCTGCAGGGAGGAGGATTAGGTGGAGGGCACTTGAGGTAACCCCCAAGACGCCTGGGCCTTTGGCCTCGGCGGATTGATGGTGTAGTTTGAGCAGCATGCGTGTTTTCTAGGCCGGCCGTGCCATGCTTTGGTCCCATGGTCAGCGAGCATATCGATGCAGTTCTGGAGTCCTGTGTGTGTGTCTGTGTTGGGTGGTTTCAAGAATGAACAGGATCTCTAACAGCCCGCATCAACCGTTGCCCTTTATTTTTGCGACAGCAGCAGCCCACTTGAGGAGGGCAAAAGTGGTAATAGCTGAGTTGTTCTGTTTGATTTTGCAACCGCACGTCAAAGGCTGCTTAATGAACATAGCTGCGTCTTGTGTGGTCTTGTCTCTCGTCTGCGCTGATGACAGAGAGCTGCGAGTAGCTGAGACTTCCCTAGGCCGTGAACTCTGCCCCCAACCCGAAGCTTGAGTCCTAAATGCCAAACCAGTTGATTGGGGCTGAGGACGCACGTGTCATTGAAGAGAACGTCCCTCGCATGGGCCGCGAACTTTCGATGCCACTTGCACGTGCTGAGTGTTAAGAATCTGGTCTGCGCCTGCGTCGTCGGACATGGAGCTTGGAAGGCTTTGACTTCGACCGATGACTTGATCCAGCGTTCCGCCGCGCAGAAAATCGTGCATCGGCATGCTTGTGTCGACTTCTTTGCTGGTGGGAGAGATGTGCAAATCCTCATGCTGGTTCGCTGGCAATGCATCTCAAGGCGCTCAGGACGAGTGCCGCCTGGGAAGTGCAGTAGGCTTCCTCGAAAAGGCATTCTCCAGATCTGTAGAAAAGCAAGTACCGTAGACAGTCCGACTTTTTCTTCGTTTCGCCTCCAAGCGTCGCATGCGAACGACAAAGTCCAATCGTCGAAAAGCCTCGGAGGCTCTTGCAACATTCGTTCAAAGTTGCCTGTTGGGCAAATCCTGCTTTGATATCACTCTGGTTTCGCCTTTGCTGCAGCCAGCAGACCATGAAAGGCTTCTCGGTCAAAGACACCGACTGCGCAGAAGCATGCCGGTGAGCAAGCCAACAACAGCTTGAGCCAGGCCACCAGCTGAGACATGAGTCTTTCCTTGAGCCATCTGCCTGATGAGTGTCCCAAGCGCCGAGGTGAGCACTAAGGACCTGGAGGCGATTGTCTTCGGCGGGCAGGAAGGCAAGGCGGCAAAGCATGGTGCTGCCTGTCAGCGTTGGGGTCTTCTAGAATTCTGCCCTGCCAGTCCTGGCAGGTGAAGAAGCGGCTGAAGAGATTGGCCCTGACCAGGAGAACAAGCCAAGCAGCGTTTGATTTCCTCGCGTTTCCGACATGTCCGCACACTGTTATACAACCTTGCGCATGATGGCAGTTTCAAGTTTCCTTTCACACGCTTCCATGCTCCTCATGGCTTGCTTGCATCTCCTTGTCGGAAGCAATTGAGAACGCCAAATGCAGCGAACGCGCAGGGAGATGCACGCGAACAAGACCATCGGATTAATGAAGCGCTAATGCCGAGATGTTCGCCCTCATTCATCAATGCACGGGTTGGTTCCGGGGCAAAGATGGGAAGCACCAAGAAGTTCCGTAGAATGGTGTTGGCCTTTGAAACATGTTGTTGCGGTCAGGGGAAACTCTTGGTGGTGGGTCGATCGCCAACATCTGTAGCTTATCCTACACTCTACACCATGTCAATTGAAAAGCTTTGCGTTGCACTTTCAAACTGTCCTACTTACACAAGCTTATGGGGCCCGTGCGCAGCATCTTTCGGCAATCACGTGGATGAAGCCACTATAAGCCGCTGCTTTGCCCAGACATGCGATTTCACCTAGCTCAGAATCGCCATCGAAGCTGATGCTTCAGCATCGGAAACATGGATATGTGACGGTGCGGCGCATGTGTATGGGATGTCGATGAAGAATGAAACAAGGAATCCACCGGTTCGAATCTTGTACTTACCTGGCTGACCATGGCACCACCCCGCAGACTTAAGTTGCTTTGCAGAGGAAGCACCTCCATCGGCGGCCCGAGCCACAGTCTGGAGTGCTGAAACTCTTCGTTTCTGTCAGATGATGCAGCCTCCTGAGGCGTGGTCGGATCCAGATGACGCGGCGTTGCAAGTCCCCCTGGCCCGACGCCGCAGTTTCTCCGTTCTGCTTGAGCACGCCTGGCAAAGCCTTCTCCTTGTTTGCATTCCGACACGAAGCGAGCTTGTTCAGCAACGGGCCCTCGCAAATTGCAGTACGTGTAGATCTGCGTTGCGTTGAGGTTGGTGACCGACACAGGAAAAGACTTCGGCAAGCCGATTCACAGGTGACGGGTCAGGAGACCGCGCCTCAGGACTGGTTCTGAACACATGTGCGCAGCATGTGCCTATCGTGTCCGCCTTGAACAGTTTCGACGCACAGGTACGAACGACTTCTCCGCCAAAGGTTCTTGAAGCTGAACGGATCTGCGTCATCCGGCGAATTCTGGTGAGCACTTTCTGCCATGTGAAACATTCGCTCACGAAAGCGTTGTTCGCCAAGGCACTGGGCTGCATGCGACCCTTCAGAGGCTGGGTGTGCATGTTCTTTTTTTCGCAGGCAGAGTGAGATGCTTTGAAGGCCCAACCTTCGGACTCTGAGGAGGACGCTGGAGAAGTCGCAAGCACGCGAAACCCTGTGGTAGCATCTACAGGCAGGTCACATTCCAACCGAATTTGTCAGTGAAATGGGATGCCAGGTTTTCAAGCACGGACGCCCCACTCCGATCTGATTGCAAATCACTGCTCGGCGTGGGTCGTG